AGAAATTGAAAACTGACAATTTAAACTATTCATCTAATATGTCTTAATGCATCATACACAGGGATGGCACTAGGCATTTTCCCACCTGATACAATCTCTGTGTATTCTAAAATCTGCTGCTTGGTGCCTTTCTAAATTCTGCTTCCAATGCCTGTTCTAAATTCTAAAATTTTTACATTTCCAGATTTTGTTGCTCGATGTGTTATTAAATTCTAAAATTCTTTCTCTATACATTCTAAATGCATTTACACTGGTGTGCAAAAATTAAGGACGAAGTCGAAAAATTAGCATATCAGCTGAACGAAGAGGCAGAGAGAACAGAAAGACCAATCAGGAGATTAACTAAGGTGATGTACGGTAGCACATGCGCAGATATGCAGGAAGACATAATGGGGGAGTGTCTGAGTAGTATAAAGCATGTTGTCGGTGTAAGATCAGTATTTCTGGCAAAGAGATTGCACGTCGTATAGCAGTTAAAATCACACTGAGTTGCTGCCTCAGCGAGAAATGGCGAATAATCAATCTGTTAGACAACATCTGGATGCTTTTACCCGAGGTCGAATCATTGGGAAGTTGGAGGAAGGCCGCTGTGTGACAAGTGTGGCTGCAGAGTTCGGAATTGCTCACAGCATCGTTTCACGACTTTGGAGACAATTTCAAACTACAGGAACAGCTATCCGGGGGTTTAGTAGTGGTCGTACACTAGGAAGCACACCCGCAGATGACCGGTATATTGCCTTACAGGCCAGAAGAAACAGGCGGCAGACAGCGGAAGAAATCGCTAGACACACGACACAGGCGACTGGACGACCGATATCGCGTTTTACCGTGGCCAGAAGACTGCACGGTGGTGGTCTGTTTGCACGACGCCCCATATGGTGTGTACCTCTAACGCCTGCCCATCGGAAAAGGCGTTCTCTGTGGTTCCGGGAACACTGGAATTGGAGAGACAATGAATGGGGACGAGTACTCTTTACAGATGAGAGCAGATTCAGTCTGAGTAGCGATTCTCATCGCATACTCCTCTGGAGAGAGCGGGGAAGTTGCAATCATCCCTCGAACATCATTGAAAGGAACAGGTATGGAGGTGGTGGTGTTCTCGTTTGGGAAGGCATCATGCTTGGTAGTCGTACAGACCTTCACATCTTCGACGCAGGTTCAGTCAACGGGACCCGTTATTGTAACGAGATTTCTTCTTCCATATGTGCGTCTTTTTAGTGACGCTATGGGTCCGCATTCCTTTTCATGGACGACAATGCAACCGTGTTCATCGCACAGTAGCTGCCGAACAGCTCTTAGAGAGTGAGGATATTGAACGTATGGATTGGCCGGCACAATTCCGGATCTCAATCCCATCGAGCATGTTATGGGATTTTCTGGAAGACGCTTGGCAGCTCGTAACCTTACCACCAGTAACGATTCCGGAGCTTCGATTGGCGCTGCAAGACGAATGGGCAGCAATGCCTCAACAACTCATTGACACCCTCATTCTCAGCAGACGGAAATTCTAAAATGGAAAGAAAACGTGGAAGAAAGAAACTGAATACATTAAGAGAAAGGGAAATTATTTTTCAAAGATATGTACAGATATTATTATGTAAATTACCCAGTTGTTTACAATTTCAGCCTTTATTATAATTTTCCATTTCTATTTTCTCACCAGAATGCAAATCACTTAGTTTTTAAACTGAGGTTTTTGGAGTGTAATACGAGTGTATTTCTGACCTCCACTTGCTCCCTGCATTAGTTCATCCCACCTCTGATAATTTGTAATTATTCGTCGTTACATTACCATTGCCGTAATTTGAATTTGTTATGACGATAAAGTTACTGAGCTTAAAATGTTACAGCTTAAAATGAAATTAAATTGTTAATAGTCTTTGATCACTAGTCCATATTTTTAGTTTGAATTGGATTCTTCTTGTTTAATTACATAATCACGAGCTGTCATTGATTTATTTAGCATTATAACATGCCTTTATGTTCTGAGTTCTTTTTAAATAAGAAGCTTATTTAAATCTTTGTAGCTACTTTCAGACATAGCGATAATTTGCTTCACATCTGTCCATTTAGACTGTCCATTAGACATTTAGACTATTTAACTTTTACCAGATCAAGTAAACCCTCATATGTACATTTTGGAGAGGTTGACAGGTTAGGAGCTAAAACACGTAGGAACTAGTGAGAACATTTTCTTGCGTATTGAGACAAAGTTCTAACTGTTAGAAAAGATGCTTAAAGAGAAGGAAATTGATATAAATTAGCCAAAATGTCTGGGAAGGCTTCAAATTAAAAAGACTCATAAATGTTTTGCTCAGTGTTGTTGCTACAAAACATAAATATTTTGTAGCTTTTAATGTATAATTATACTAATATCGTTTAAGATACAATGCCATAAATTACATGTATTTTAAACTGTGAAATTTTATTCGATTGTGATTTAATAGGGCTTTTTTTAACAAATATTGTTAAAAAATTAAACAAATATTGTTAAAAAATAAATAAAATTTAATAGTGCCCATGTAAATTTATGACTGAGGTTATCTAATATGTAATTTAATTACTTATAACCAGGGCTGTGGAGTCGGTAGGGAAAATGACCAACTCCGACTCTGACTCAGACTCCCAGAATTTTAATAACTCTGACTCCTTCATATATATGTGAACATATATATACACATGGGTACAGCTTATTTTTTTATTAAAAAAGAAGTAATAGATGCTACAAAAAAATTAATGCATAGCAAATTTTTTATATTAATTAGCATTTATTAGGAAATGAAAAAACTGGCATTAGTAATTTCTAAGAAACAGTAAAATTTTGGCAAGATCTTCTTTATTAGAGGACCAAACTTCAGAACTGAGAAGAGTGTTTACACACTGACATGAATAGGAAGAAGAGCTTTTACTGTTAAGGCTACTCTGTCTGGATTCAAGACTTTGTACTATATTTATTTACTAATATGTCAATAAAATAGAAAATAACTATCTATTAATGTATATAGTTTATAAATAAAAATAAATAAATTTGTCATTATTATTATTATTATTTTTTCAATTCACTTTAATTTCATTTCAATTCAAACTGTTCAACAAAAACTGGTGTTGGAGTCCACGTGTTTTTTAGCAATTCCAATTCCGACTCCTTTTACCCCAAAATCTACCCGACTCCGACTCCACAGCCCTGCTTATAACTAACTGGTTACCTTTAAAAATTGTAGCGAGTTATTGTCTTTCATTAACTCTTATTGTGGTCATAAGATAAAACACAAAAATGTAAAAATTTGTGTAAACCTATTTCTTCACCTCTAGTGAGACTTAAAATAATGCAAAACAACTTGTGAGACTTAAAATAATGCAAAACAACTTGTCACGTCTGGTGCCTTAGTAGAGTTTTAGGACCTTAAACTATATTAACTGAGTTACAACCCCTAGAACTTTACAAGAAAATATGACACAAACTGTGTCAGGCAGAGCCCAGCTAACTTTCAGAACTTGCAAACCGGGCTTACATCAGGTCTTTTAGGTTTGTTCTGATCATCAGGTTTCTCTTTAGGCAAGCAAGAGCAATGACAACAGCCAATTTTTTTTTTTTTTTTTTTTTTTTAAATTATGCTGATTGTGATTTTATTCTCACTTTATGCTGCTTGACATAAAATCTACTTACTGAACCCCTATACTGAGCAAGTATGTGACAAAATGAGACATTAAAAAAAAAAAAAAAAAAAAAAAAATCAACATAAAGCTAACTGTTAGTAAAACCTAAATAAAATGTCACTTTTCTTTGTTCAAATATGTCCAGTTATTATGAGTGTAAAATATTTAATGCTACTTGATAAATTTCACAAAATTTATTTCATTTTCAAACTTATTCATAATTATGTTTAATAATAATGCATCCGACTTATGGATCTGTTTTATTTTTAGGATGATATTACAAAAGTGAAGTTCAGCATAGATAATATTTTTAATTGAATTTATTCAGTTCACAATTGCTTATAGGTTCTTAATTTTTTCATTAATGGTCCTTAAAAGTACTTAATTTCTATGTGCAGAAATGTGTACAAACGCTGTATATTTTTTATGGCACATTATTTATGTACTTAGAGTTGATAAATTTTCCCTTTTCTCATTTCAATTGCATGAACAGTGACTAGAACAGATCGTTGTATTAGCTGATGGTTTTAACAATGTTGTAACGATAATTTTTAAATCTGAGCAGCAGACTCTATAAAGATTGAAGGTGCTAAAAATCCATACAGTATTACAGTGCCAAGTTTTAAAAAGGTTGCAAAAATTCTGTTTTATCTCTAAGCACACTGTTACGGTTGATTTAAGGCTTTGGTAAGTTCATCAAATCCATACTAGTGTAAAAAATAGGGCAATTCTCATGTATTTCTATGATGATAATATCCTAGGCAGTATACAGCACAATTGGAAGCAGATTTTATTCAACGGAACTGAAAAATGTTCTACCATTCACCATAACTTCCGAGACTTGATTTCTATGATGAAAAACCTGCTTTATGGCAGGCACTTCAAGCCACTACCAAAAATTCTTAAGGGTTTTGGCTGAACTATCAACAGGACAAGGGCTGCCAAAAGCATTCTCTTTCGCATCATTGACAGGAGGTTGTATGCAACACTGACGACTGCATAAAAAACAATACAAATTTGAAATATGCGTATCTTCTATATCCAAAGAATAAATAATTACAAGTGCTTAAATTCCCAATTGTGTTTATAAAATAAAAATGAAACATTGTACCCACCTTCACTTTGATAAATGGATTAGAATTATTTTGAGTGTGGAATGCAGGTTTTTTATGTAAGTTTTGTCATCTTGAAAGTTCACTCATACTGAAACATTTGATAAACTGTATTAATAGGATATAATTTACTTTGAATAATTGTATTGTTAATTCTACTGTGTATTTTAATTTGAATATTTATTTAGTTGTCTGGGTTCACTGTCATTAATATTAAGGAATTTACTTTAGGTTCAGTAACAGTTCTTACCAATGAGAAAGTAGTAGTAATCAAACTGAAAGGAAATGACACATCATATATAAGACAATTTGAAGGATTATATCAGGCAGAAGGTAAGGAATTTATAATTATTTTATATGAAATTTCGAAAAAATCAGCAGTTAAACTATATTATTTTTGGGATGTGATATGTAACTGGAAGTTCTTTATTATTAACTGCATTCTTTATTTTCTGTAGCTTCTTAATGTATTACAATAGTGCATTTGTTTATTATGTCTAATTTTCTGTGTAGAAAAATGTACATGTGGAAGATGAGATAATGGCAGATATATTAAGAATGTATTTTGATAGTATTGCGTATTGGGGTGAGTGAGTGAGAGATTATGGCACAAAACCAAAGATGATTATAGTGCTCCAAACATGAGATGTGATGATTACAATTGATGGAAATTTAAATACAATAAATAAAAACAAGTAGACAAATGTACAAAATCCAGAGGATGAAGTCCTATAAAAACAAGTTAAAAGCACACATTAAAATCCAAGACACAATCTTCACATTAGGTAATAAAAGCCAGTCTCTTTTAAATAATAAAATAAATTACAATTAGCCTCTCTTCCAATTGAATGGTCGAGAGGTAAGTCACAGCTATTAAAATGTTTCTGACGAAGACTATTAAAATATGGACACTCAATTAAAATATGATGGACAGATAAAGAAACATTACAGTTTGAACAAAGAGGCTCATTCTCAGCTTTCAAAAGGTAGTTATGTGTCACTCTAGTGTGACCAATTCTGAGGCGAGTCAAAAGAACTTCCTCCTTATGATTTCCACCAAAATCTCAACGCTCGATTCTAGGCTTTACATTTCTCAACTTGTGCAGCTGAACGTCCCAAATTTGCTGCCATTTTTTTTTTGGACCTATCCCTTGATGACACAGCAGATGTCTCTAAAAGGGATAAGGCGACTGGACAGTTCAACAGCAGATTTTGCTGCGATATCTGCAAGCACAATTCCCTTTATTCCCACATGTCCAGGAACTCAGCAGTACAGGACTTCATATCCTTGATTGTTAAGTTTATATGAACCTTGAGAACATCCACTACCACAGGATTCTGAGTGTTGGGAAAAGCTTCCAATGATTTAAGAGCACTATATGAGCCTGTATAAACTATGAACTTTTTCTGGCAGAGCTTTGAGATGTACAAAAGACCTGCAGTTAGTTCAGATGTTAGGACTGAGAAAACATGATGCACGCATCTGCCCTCTATGTAATCTTGAAATACAAATGCCATCCCGACATGATCATTTGACTTGATCCATCTGTATATGGGATAATAACTGCTATATTTGTGCCTGTGCTCAGCGAAAGAGTTGTCTGTAAATGATCTCGTTAGTGCTTGCCTTACGTGATGTTTGAAAACATCAAGAAGCTGAATCCGTGCATTTTTCCCAAGGTGGAATTTCAAATTCTGTACTGCTTGGGGTGCATATCAGAGAGGAAAGTTCCTCAATGACAGGGCGAACTCTTAAAGGAAAGGTAGGAACACAGGATGGACGTGTTTCAAATAATGTGTTACACTCATTATCAAGTAAGCACAGCTTATTGGGATGTTCAGGTTGGATAAATATTAAAATATTGCAAAAGGGACAATTGCTCACGCCTCAGATAAAGTGATGGTTCGTTACAGTCAACATACAGGCTCTGGACAGGAGAAGTCCTGAAAGCTCCTGAACAAATCTTCAGAGCTTGATGGTGAATGGGATCCAGTTTCAACAAAACTGATGACCGAGCGGATCCATAAACAACTGAGCTATAGTCCAGTCTAGAGCGAAAAAGCGCTCTGTAAATGCGAAGCATAGAGCAATGCTCTGCACCCCAGGAGGTGTTCGCCAACATTTAAAAAATATTTAGTGTTTTTAAACACTTCTTTCTCAGGTTTAAAACATTAGAAAGGAAAGTCAATTTTCGGTCGAATGTCACTCCTAAAAATTTTACTTCAGCTGCAACTGGAATAATTGAACCATTCAGATATAACTCAGGCTCAGGATGGAGATCTCGCTTCCTACAAAAGTGCACGCACACAGTTTTTTTGTTCGAAAATGTAAATCCCTGTTTGTTTGACCATTCTTGGATCTTATTCAGAGCCATCTGCAATTGCCTCTCTACATGTATCTCATGTCTGCCCTCGACAGCTAATCTGCAGATCATCAACATATAGAGATCCCAAGATGGTGGGAAGGAAGTTCTTTTAGTACAGAGTTTATTTTTAAAACTGAAACAGGGTTACACTGAGCACACAGCCTTGAGGCACACCCTCTTCCTGTTCAAAAACATCCGAACAAAACAGAGCCAATCCTTACTTGAAAAGTTCTAGTGTTCAAGAAGAAATTTCTGAATGAAAATTGGTAGGTTGCCGCGCAAGCCACTCTCGTGAAGATCCGAAGTATACCGTATCTCCATGCCTTATCATAAGCTTTCTCAATGTCAAAAAAATACCGAGACAAGGTGACTCTTCTTCTTACAAAAGCTTTTCGAATGGATGTCTCTAAAGAGGAGCATATTATCTACGGTTAGTTCTCCCCTTTCGAAAACCGCTTTGATAAGGCGACATATAATATTTATTCTTTTCCAAGAAGTAGACTAGGCGGCTGTTTACCATTTTTTCAAACAGCTTGCGTAAGCAACTCGTAAGGGCAATTGGCCGATAGTTGGAGGAATTCCTTGGATCTTTCCCTGGTTTACCAATAGGGATTACAAGAGCTCTCCTCCATGCACTTGGAAAAGTATGCTTCTTCCACACTCTGTTGTAAAGTGTGGGAAGGGCAGTCAGTAACTTACAGGACAGATGCTTTAGCATTTTGTAATTCACACCATCGAGACCCGGAGAAGACCTATGTGTCTGCAACAAAGCTTTCCTTAATTCAAGCATAGTAAAGTCTTTATTATAAGACTCAGATATGGTAGAGTTGAATGGGATGGGATATATCTCAGAGTGCTGCTTGATAGAGAGAAATGCTGGTGAGTAATTTCTGCTGGAAGAAACGGCAGAAAATATCTCACCAATAGTATTCACAATTTCTTCTATGGAGCTAATCACTCGGCCATCTTTTTCCAAAAAGGAAAGTGAGTGGTCTTTATATATTCCGCATGCTTTTCGAACTCTTTCCCAAACCGCTTACTAGGCGTAGAGGATGTTATTGACGACACATATGAAATCCAGGAATCCTCTGGCTCTGCCTTCTTACTTTTCGTGCATTTGCTTTGGCTCTTTTAAATGGCTATGAGAGTTTTCGCAGAGTAGGGATATCTACGAAAAATACCCCATGCTTTTTTCTGTTTTTTCAGTGCTTCATGACAGTCGCGATTCCACCATGGTTTCGAATATTTTAGTATTTTTCCTGATGTTCTAGGAATGGAAAGCATAGCTGCCTGAATAATAGTATTAGTAACAGCTTCAACAGCGTCATCGATATGCACGTCTTCTACCATTTCATCTGTGAGCTCTGCAATGGAAGAGAAGAGTTCCCAGTCTGCCCTGTCCAGATTATAAAACGAGGGGATCTCGACATGGGGTTTGCTCCTCTTCGTGCAAGAGACACAAAATGGGATAAGTGATCGCTGTTGTAAAGATCATTTCCCACACTAAAAGTGCAAAAATGGCAACAGAGATGGTGAACAGATGGCAAGGTCGAGAGCATGGAATGTCCTTGAAGGCTCATGGAAATAAGTATCCTGCCCATTATTGAGGAGACAAAGGCTATGATCTTCGATCATCTGCTCAATTTGTCTTCCTCGGCAATTTGTATCTTTACTACCCCAGAGTGGACTATGGCCATTAAAATCTCCTATTAAGATAAAAAGCTCAGGCAGCTGCTCTATAAGACCATTTAAATCTTGCTGATCAATGTGCTCATTTGGAGGCAAATCAGAGAAACGACTGAAACAACAATATCAAAATTTGTTTGAGTAGCGACAACTTGGAGGGATGTCGTCAAAGAAAGGAACATTTGAGGGATATCCAGTGAGGTGAGAGACCTATACCTCCACTGGCACGCTCACCTGCAAGGTTATCCTCCCGAAGAAAACCTCC